TCAAATTTTTTCTTTTATGGACCATGCTTTTGGTGTTCCTTTTAAAAGCTCATTGCCAAACCCAGAGTCATACAGGCTTTCTCCTAGAATCTTTATATAAGACTGTGATTATGTTTAGGTCTGTGATTCAGTCTGTGTTAACTTTTGTGAAAGGATAACATTCATATTTGGATTCCTTTCTTTTTTTTTTTTTTTGGGTTATTGAAAGACTATCCTTTTCTCCATTGAATTGCCTTTGTTCCTTTGTCAAGATCAGATTGACTCTGTCTTTTTTCTTGGTTCTAGTTTTGGGCTTGCTGTTCTGTTCCAGTGATCCATATGTTTAGTCTTCAAAAAAATTGCGCTGTCTTGATTCCTGTAGCTTTATAGCAAGTCCTGAATCAGGGACCCCACGTCCTCGGGTTTGGTCCTTCTGCTTCAGCTTCGTGTTGGCTGTTATGGGTTCTCTCCATAGAAGTCTGAGACGCAGCCTCTTGATACCCACAAAGAGCTTGCTGGGATTTTTATTGGGATTGTACTGATTCCATAGATCAAGTTAGGAGGAATCGATATCTTGAAAATATTGAGTCTTCTAATCCATGAATATAAAATCTCTCTCCTTGTTTATCTTGATCATCTTTGATTTCTTTCCTCAGCACTTTATAGTTTTCCACATAGAAAACGTTACTTGTTAGATTTATACCAAAGTATTCCCTTTTTAATGGGCTATTGTAAATGGTACTGTGATTTTAATTTCAAGTTCCAATTCTCATGGCTGATATACAGGGAAGCAGTTGACTTTTGTATATTAGCTGTGTCTCCTACGACCTTGCTGTAATTGCGTATTAGTGCCATGGGATTTTTGTTGGTTCTTTGGATTTTTCTACATAGACAAAGAACAAAGGCAGTTTCCGTTCTCCCTCTCTAGCCCGCAGGGCTTTCATCCCCTATCGCTGCTCTGCTGCGCTGTAACTGTAACTTCAAGCACAAGCTGAAGGTCGGTGGTGCTAGGTGGGGGTTGTGCTTGCCTCATTCCCAGTCTCAGAGGAAGAGCGTTGTTTCTGACGACGCCTTCCCTTTCTGCTCCCTAGTTTTCAGTATCTTTGCTTCTTTCATCTATTTCTCCATCTTGTATTGGGCCTGTGTGATGGAAAAGGTGGTGGGCATCAGAGACACTTTCATGTCGATCATGATTTGGATCTTGGCCAAGGGACTGTAATTCATTTGCATTTTAGTTTTTTCACTCTTAATTGGGAAAATATTGCCTACGCAGGTGGGATGTTGTGATGATTACATGTTTGAAATGAAGATGTTTGGGAAAAAAACCTCTTTATTCATTTAGCAGATGATTATGTAACTTTGATTTAGGCCTGATGCTAAATTCTAAGGACAACTGTGAACAAGACATAGGTTCAGAACTCAGAAAACTAGAGGGAAGAAACAGTCAAGGTCACGGTGTATTTTAATAAACAATCACGAGTGCTGTGAAACCCGTAAGGGCACATAGTATTTATTTATTTATTTATTTATTTATTTTTAATAGATCTTTATTGGAGTATAATTGCTTCACAATACTGTGTTAGTTTCTATTGCACAACAAAGTTAATCACCTGTACATATACATATATCCCCATATCCCCTCCCTCCTGCGTCTCCCTCCCACCCTCCCTATCCCACCCCTCTAGGTGGTCACAAGGCACATAGCTGGTCTCCCTGTGCTATGTGGATGCTTCCCACCAGCCGATTATTTTACCTTCGGTAGTGCATATATGTCGGTGCTACTCTCACTTCAACCCAGCTTCCCCCTCTTACCCTGTGTCCTCAAGTCCATTCTCTATAACTACATCTTTATTCCTGCCCTGCAACTAGGTTCATCAGTAGGTTTTTTTTTTTAGACTCCATATATATGTGTTAGCACACGGTATTTGTTTTTCTCTTTCTGACTTACTTCACTCTGTATGACAGACTCTAGGTCCATCCACCTCACTACAAATAACTCAATTTCGTTTCATTTTATGGCTGAGTAATATTCCACTGTATATATAAGGGCACATAGCATTTAGATTTTTGGTAATTAGAAGCTACCGTTTTATTCTTATCCCTTTTTGAGGTTTAGTTACTCTTCCTGAATTGTCGAAAAGAGCTCATGACTTTTCCTCTCTCCTTTCCTATGCATCTTCTTTGTTCCCAGCGCACAGAGTCAGTACAGTTCTTCATTGCCATCTCTCTAGTTTCTGCCTTATTCTCACCACTCCCTCCCCTTTTTCACTGTGTGTCTCAAAAACGTCCATTCCTGGGATGTATAAGAGCAATGTGTTCTGTTTGGTAACATGTGTATGTTGGTTCCCATGTAGTTCAGACAGTAAACACAGAGAGTATGTCAAATATAATACTCCAGAGGGCAGGGGTGATAATAATTATGTTTTTATATAACGCAAGTTAAGCGCTTCAACATGTTGTCCATAACATGAATGAATTTAGGTGTGTGGCACAACTTCATACGGGCTGATACCACTCTTGGGCTCCATCCTTTCATTTTGTAAGGAATAGGAAGAATAAATGAAGGCTTGTCGTATATATGAGTGTGTGGGAGCACGTCTCAATTGTGTTTTAAGAAATAAAATAGGGCTTCCCTGGTGGCGCAGTGGTTGGGAGTCCGCCTGCCGATGCAGGGGACACGGGTTCGTGCCCCGGTCCGGGAAGATCCCACATGCCGCGGAGCGGCTGGGCCCGTGAGCCATGGCCGCTGAGCCTGCGCGTCCGGAGCCTGTGCTCCGCAACGGGAGAGGCCACAACAGTGAGAGGCCCGCGTACCGCAAAAAAAAAAAAAAAAGAAAAAAAAGAAATAAAATAACCAATTATACTTGGTTTCCCAAAGGATGGGGCCTTGTTGCTAGGCAACGTCTTTATGAAACTCACACTGTGTTAACTAAATACAGCTCCCGAGCAGCTTCCAGATACCCTCTGATTTATGAGGTGAGCAGCTGAAACAATTCATTAACATGCCTTTCTTTCCTCTGATTTTTGGGGCAGGTGGGGAGGGGCTGGAGGGCACAGCTGACACGACATACAGATGAGCAGGAGGGTGTCAGCAGGTACCGTCTGAACGGGGGTGTGCCTTTCCATGCCTCCTGCTACCTGCAGGCACCAATTTAAAATTTTGGCTTTAAAACGCGAAGTAATTGGTCCTGCCCGTGTCTCCCCACTTCCTTACGAGTCAGCTAATGAAGCAGTAGCGTCTAGAGGTGCTGTCTGCGTTTGCAAGAGCGTGCGTTTGCAAGAGCGTGCGTGTGTACCCGTGTGTTTAAGAAACATTAAAATAAGTGCTGCTTCTGAGCTTTTCCACAGGTTCTGCTGACTCTTTAGTCAAACTCTTCTCTGCATCAGCAATTTTGTATCCAATTTGGAACATGTGCTGAATATTCTCCACCAAAGATTAGAAGGCAGTCTTGTACAGAATGAATAAAGGCACTGCATAGACCTTTAATAACCTGCATGCTTGCCGTTCCTTCAGAAAAAAGCAGGGCTTCAGCGCGCACTCTGCTGCTCAGGAGAGTTTGCTCACCAAATTGCCCTTGCGGCTAATGATTGCTATGGAAGATGTTCTAGAAACTTGAGGTGATACCATTTGCTATTAAAGATGCATTTGCTTTGACAGATTGAAATCTTTATTTTGAGACAGTTGATGTGGGCTTTCTGAGCTAACTGTACCCTTGGTTTTGATACTATTTTAAGGAATCAAGTATTTATTCCTTACAGAAAAGAATTAAGAAAATAGCTGTGCCGTCTAAGAACTTTAGTTTAGTTTGATAGGCAGTGGGAAAGCAGCTCGCCTGTCTGTTTGGTAAGACTGAAGACGACCGTGTAATCAACTTATCCCGCTGAGTCTCCCAGTCTTTGAGCTCCTCTGTGATATAGCCGTTGGAATAGGATGTGGATAAATATTAATTAGATATCTAAATGTGTGGAGTAACTTTTCTTTCTTCAGAAAGAATTCTATATAAAGATATACAAGAAATAATTTTATTAAATGTAGTTTTCCGTTGTACTTAAAATTTGTTTAGAATGTATTTTTTAAACTACCACGGATGGAATACCTCAGGGGACTATTAAGTAGGGGAGTAGATAATGTACCCAAATAAACTGAGCCTTTGTGGAGACACAAGGACCAGAAAACAAATATCTATTCCAGGTACCAGGGAGGAAGGGTGGAGTCTAAACCTTTCTAGGTAGGGGAAGGTTCAAGAAGATGGGAAGGTTATAAATAAATGGAGAAGGTTCTAAATAAAAGCTCTCAGCCCTTCAGCATGCCAGGAGATATGCATTATGTAGAGATGATCACCACAAAAAAGTAATATTGATTTTTTTTATTGGAAACTAAAGGATTTGTCCAAATGTGGCTCTTTGCAATTTTTAAATTTCATATGCCAGTGGTTGAATGATTGGTTCCATTGTGGAAGGCAAAAGAGAACTGCTTTTGAAAACTGATAATTTTATTATAAGTATCAGTTAACTGTAAAATGCATTCTTCTTTCAAACAAGCAATCATTGTGAACCTGGTTTATTTAGAGTTCCAACCCCAGACGTACACATGGACCATTTATGTGCTGAAACGTGGCAGTCTTCCAGCCCAGCACTCAAGTCTCCACAAACCACATGACTGGTAGTAATGGAGATATGACCTTGGTTGGCAAAGATAATATTTACCATGTGATGCTGAATTATTTTTCAACAACAAGAATACATAATGTGAGAATGAGAAGAGGTTTTAGAGTTCAGATTCCAAACTATGTCCAAAAAATCATTGAAAGAAGTTAACTTGAGAATTTAGCAGTTTAATAAACTGCAGTCCCTTTTATCTTGACAAATAGCCTTCGATTTAAAAATTCCAAAATACTCCATTTATTGCAAAGTTTGGGGCCTTTATGCTGTCACAAAATGTCCACAAAACCGAGAGGAGGAAAATGGTGTGTAGGTACAGTAGCAGGCAACACTAACCACTTTTAAAATCTGTCTTTCAGGAAAGAACGGTGACCATTAGAAGACAAACTGTAGGAGGATTTGGATTAAGCATAAAGGTAGCCCGTCTCTCCTGTCTATCCTTACAAAGTCTGTGCCGTAACGCCCGCGTTTCTGTGAACTTTAACTTTCTGCAGATTGATAAGTAGACGAGAATGGCTATAGCAAACTCCTCAATATTTGGACTGAGAGGAAATTAAGCAGGCTCTCAAAATCTTGGCCACCTTTTGATTAAGAGATTTGAGAGAAGTGTTTGGGAAATTTACCTTACCTGGAATTGAATATAACCCATTACTTTTCTTTATCTGGTTTCATCTAAAATATCAAATATGGCCTTGCGGTGTGCATATCTTTTAACCAGCCAGAGCGGGAAATACTGGTCTGTCAGTGAAAGGAGCCGAACAGGTTTTAGGTTCATATAAGGTCTGATAGTAAGTTAAGTATTAGTTCTGTTCCAGTCATCTTTCTCTTTTGTGCAGTTTTCTTTTTTTATTTAAGAAATCAGTAAACTCTCATGTTCCAATGCCAAGTATATAGGATACATTTAAAGCTTTAGCACCTCAATTCTTCTAAAAACGGACCATATCTGTTCTTTTCTAGTTACTGTTACATTTCAAAGGGCTTTTCTTTCTGTATATCACTGACTATTAAAGATGTACCACACCTGCAATGTATCATCAATGAAACAAAATATAAATTTTAAAGAAGGACAGAAAGTTATATAAATATTGAAAAAATTCACTCAATGATTTTAAATGCCCTTTAGAAACCTGTATCTCTGCAGAGATCAATGAACTTTAACTTTATCTTGGTTGTTGGGTTAGGCATTTTGCCTGTGCAGGGGGAAAGTCATACATCTCAGGTGTACATTTCATGAAATTTTAACACAGCTTGAGGTACATACACTTGGAAAGTGGAACTCTAAATTTGGTGACTGTCATCTCTAGTTGACATTACGAAAATGATTCAGAAAACTGACCAGTGTTGACTGGCAGGGTCTTCGTCAAGTGATGAGAGTATTTACTATATAAAATGTTAGTTTTAAGGTTTATTTTTTCTTTCACTCTGTCATCAACTAAGGCCAAGGAGAGATGTAGGACAAATTACAGGATGTGGAAATGATGTTGTGGGAATAAACCAAGAAACAAGTTTTCTTGTTTTTTTCCATATTTATTGAGATCGCCATGAAGGATTTAAAGGTACCACTGAAGACGGTAAGTGTCCATGAAGAGAGAACAGGAGCTGAGTGTGAATAAAATCCATTCACGAGAGCTGCTTTCATTTGACATAAGCACTGACTGTCTTTCTGGGAGTGGAGCCGTATGAATTTCGTGCAGGATGGAAATGTTCTTTTCTTTCTGTTCTATTGCCATTTAGAGTGAAACTCAATAATACGATGTTACTTATTTTTACTGAAATGCCACATTTTAACCTAGACAGTTTTTAAACGTTAAGAATTTTGCCAAATAAATCATTTTTGTTTAATATTTACATTATTTCAACCCAAACAAAACTCTTATACATGTAATAAATAGAGTTATTTTTTAAATCAAATAAGTATATATTTTCCATTCAAAATACTGGCCACAGAAGTAATATTTGAATTGTGATGGGGGCCATATGTTAAGAGGTTTGACAAAAAAGAAATTATTTTATAATTCTTATGACACACAAACCAACCAGAAATAAAAACATCAGTATTTTTATTTAGAATATTATCCATTCAGCCTGAAGACTTTCCTTTTAGGGTTTTCCATTTTAGGTTTCTCACTACTTACCTCTGACCTTTGCTTTTCTATTTTTAAACTATCTTTCATTCCGTTAACATATTTCAACATGTGATTATTTGTTTATCATTCATTTATTTATTTTAAATAGCAATATTTTATACCAATCCTTTTTCCCTTTACCCTGTCATATGTAAATTGGATGAACTGTGTTTATCCATTTGCACTATTTTCTTTAGATCTGAGAATTACAATATACATAAGCAACAGTTTAAGAAAGTATTCTAGCCTAAATGCAAAATTCATATTTTGATGCTGACCATTTATTTATCGATTTAGCGAATCTAGTGACTGGCCCTGGGGTGCAATGAGGTGGGATCTAAAGGCATGGCATGCACACATGTCCACCTGGTCCCGCCTGTGTCTCTGAGTCACAGTGCATCCCCAGCCCCGTCCATGACCAGCGCTGTCCAGGACCCACCCCATCCATGACCTCAGAAAAGAGCAGAGAGGAACTCCGGCCCTCCCTGCTGACCTGACACTCGGCCGTGAGTGGCTTCTGGGGTTGGTGCAGCGTGCTCACTCCTTTCTCAGTCTTCCAGGAATCCTTCCCTTTTACACCATGTTTAGTCTCGTGCTGCTTTTTAGAGCCATTCCCGTATCTGCTGTAACTTTGGATCTTTTCTGACAATTGTTTGGGATGCTCCATTACTCAGTCTTCCTTGATTCAAACATCCCTCAGAAATCACAAACCTGGGTGTCCTTCCCCTCGTATTAGTTTTTGTTTTTGTTTGCATCTCATTAAAACGGCAAGCTCTTCTAATTACATTTTTAGATTTCAAAAAAAAACATTCTCCAAAAGCTGGACAAAAGAATCACTAAACTTTCCACTTATGATCAACTATTTTTCTGTGTCCTCAGACTGAAGCTGCTCCTAGAAGCGCTCAGGCTCCTGCATCCACCTGGTTTATATCCTCCTGCATCCACCTGCAGGAATGCCCTCTTCACCTTGATCTGCGCGTGGCCTCTGGCTCTGCTCTACGTGCATCAGTATTCCTGTTGCATTTTCTGGTCCGCTTGTCTGAGCCATCCAGATACTTACCATTTCTAAATATAAATTAATGGTCTCCACACTACACCCCAAGTAATCACCAAAGTTTCTCATCAAGGGGTCTAATAGTCTTGCATTTTTGCCCCATTCTTCTTGTAAGAATTACCATATAATCACCTTAAAGTAAGCTGCCATCTTGACTCCGTGAGACTTTAATTTTTCTTCTGTGTCTCTTAAGATGCAATACCATCCATTCGCATATTATTAAATCATACCTCCGGTCCTTGTCATTAAAAGAATTACCTTTTAGAGAAAGAGTGTTTTGAATATTATTACTAGAAAAATGTTTTGTGGAGTATTTTTCAAAAGACTCAGCTTTTCTTCCCTAAACAATAAGTTATCCACGTCCATCAGGGAAATGTTTGTGATCAAAGGTGATTTCCATCTGGAATCTTTAACTTTGCAGCAATCAAAGTGAAAGTATAAGTACTATTTCCATTAAAATCTTATCATTTATAAACAATAGTTGCTAATATTTATTAACTGCTCTTGAAGTGCCAGATTCTGAGCTAAATACTTTCTGTTGTTCCCTCTGGTCTTCAGTGTCCAGAAAGTGGATAACTGTTGCTGGGCCTCTACAGACAGTGGTTAAGTATTAAGAGGTTAAGTAATTTACCTGTTTGTTGTAAGCGGCAGAGCTGGGCCGCAACCCCCATCAAAGCTGATGACAGAGTCCTTATTCCCAATAAATACACTCTATAGCTGTAAAGCCTGCACTAAGTTATCTCTACGCTCTCTATTTGGAAACACAAATAATGTTTCCTCTCTAAGTTATTCACATTCTGGTTTATTTAAAACTGAAATAAATGGATTGAAATGTCCAGCATCAAGCAAACAATTTCTTAATATCAGGGGTTGGGTATTAATTATATCATATTTACCAAACAAACATATACATCTTCATAGCAGTTGTCATAAATGTCTGTATTTTCATTTATTAGTGATTTCAGGGCAAAAGTCTTTAAATATCAAGTGTTGCTACAAGCACAGGCACATTTGCATTCATTTCCTCATTCTGCCCTGTTCTCATTATTTGAGTCTGATTCTTCTGTTTCCCCCAAAGGTATGTACAGGGTACATACCTTTGCACCACAGAAATAGGAGGGTAAGAAGCAGGTAATAAAGCTTAGCTAGAAGAGTGTGCATTAGTTCCAAGAATCAGGTAAAACCACTGATGAATTATCATTTGAAGGATGATTTTTTAACTTAAATAGCTTATTGAGATGTAATTCACATACCATACAATCTACCCATTTAGAGTGTACAACTCAATGATTTTTATTATATTCACAGATGTGTGCACCCATCACTACAGTCAGTTTTAGAACATTTTCATCCACTGAGGAGAAAACCCATACCGTCAGCATCCGCCTTCTATACCCCATCCCCGGCTCAGGTCTGAGCAACCAGCCATCTACTTTCCGCCTCTATAGAATTCCCTACTTCGGATTTCCATTTGAAGGCGATCATGACTTATGTGGGAAAGCCAGTAATCTCGCCAGAGCTAGACTGAGTGATTTTGGCAGATAAGCGTGGCGTTCAAATGTACAGGGGTATTTGTCCATGTTCTTTCGGATGATATTCCTTTAGGTGCCTCTCCCACACCTGTTGACTGGGCTCTAAACCTCAATTACTGTCTGTTATTATCTGTTCGTAAGTATTTTCCATTCTCTAAATGGATATGTAATGTTGGGGTCTGTGTATCCTTTTCTTTCCAAAGCCCAGAATATGATTGATTGATTGCAATGAAAATATTGAATTGAAAGGATTTATTTGGCAAGATTCCCAGCATTATAAAAACATTCTGGGTTTGATTTAGTGGAATTTCAGAGTTGTACTGGCAAAATCATTGGATAGAGTCATGCACAAAATGCTTTAGATGGGACTTTATATCCTTGTTCCTAGCTAGCTATAAAATTAATTATGCTTTGTAGAAAGGCTATCTCAAAACTGAGTGGTGTGTGTTTTAATATTTTCTGGGATGCACTCTAGAATGTCACCTCACTTTTTCTAATCTCATTTTACCCTGGATCAACAGAGCTCAAGTAATTCATTTATTCTCTAAACCGTGGCCTCAAGCCATACACCCTGGCGGGCCTCAGGATAGGTCAAGGAGAAGATAGTAAAGGAAACCTGCCCTGACGTCAGGCCCTTTACATGCTAGAGGGAAAGCAGACATTGACCAGAGTGTCATGTAGAGAAACGTAAGCCCCAGCCATGA